TCTGTTGCAGATATTCGAAATGACTACCAACAACTGAAAGACAAACTTCAAACTCAGGAGAAGATTTGTCAAGCTTTAGTATAATGTTAAACTTGGTCGAACACAACCCTGTAAAAGTGAACTCATATGTCATTGCACCTCATGAAGTTTTGAAAGAACTATTGAAACTTTTGACAGAGGCAGACGATATAAACATCAAAGAAATAGAACCCGACATTAGTTGCTGTGGTGTTTCATATAATGTCATTGACAAGATATACGTTATGAAAGGAGGTGAAACGTTGAACTTAAAATATAGTTTCCCAGACGTCATAAAAATATTTGACGACCACAACATTTCATTAAAATTTATTTGCTAAGTAAAAATGTCAAAACTTCTTGAAAGATGTTTGAAGAAAAATAATATAGACTTTATTTCATGTAAAGGACTTTACACACTTTTGAACGATATGAAAGACCCTGTTTTGTTTGTTCGTGTAGACAAAGGAAAGTTCTATGTCTTTACAAAATATTTGAACTTCTTAGACAGAGAACTTCAAGAAACGCCATGTGAAAGTTTAGATGAAGTTCTTCTCCACTTTCAGAAAAACTTTTAAATATATATAAATGGCAGAAGATATAATGGTTTATACTATTACGACTAAAAACCCTGAGTCATATAATTCTATAACAACAAACTTACAAAGTCCTCAAGGACGATATTGTAAACTAACCTTAAACACAATGACGACTAAAGCCTGTTTTGCTCTTTTGACACCAGAAGACTTTATTGTTGTGAATGGTAAAAAATACTCCTTTGAAGATACTTACTCAGATATACCACCAACAGGTTTTGTTGACTTATTTAATACTTTAAGTACGGGTGTAACATGTGCTGCAACTAGAGCAGGTTTCATTATGTTGGATGTCCGACTGAGTTTACTATAAACGATATGAGCTATAATACAAAACTTATTTCTGGTTTTTACTACCAACAGTTTCCTATAACAGGAAAAGGTGTCATACAAGGAATGTCTATTCCATTGACATTAAGCACACCAATCTTATATATTGTTTCAAACTTAGGTTCAAAGTGTTATTCGAATGTCGACAGAAACTATTATGACCAAAAGATACTTATGCGTATAAACAATACTTTCTCTGCTGGTTTGCCTATTGTTCATTCGAATGCAGAATTTTCAACCTTAGTGAACTCAAACACTTTGGCAAGTATAACGTTGACATTAGTTGACGCAAACTTTGTTCCTGTAAAACTTTTATGTCCTATGTATTTGTCAATGACGGCAGAAAGTTTCGAATTGGAAGATGCAACTGGTGAAAGTATTGTATTACAAGAACAACTTCAACAACAAATAGCTCAAGAACAACAAATGCAACAAATGCAACAACAAAGTCAAGAATAAAAAAAATAATTTTTTTATTTTTATAAAAATGTACAGAATAGATGTTTCAGATTTTTATGACTTCCAAGCATTCAGAAATATGTGTCCATTTCGAGACTATAACAAAGCAGTCGAGAATTTGAAACGTTTAGTCATTTATGTCGACTCTGCCCAGAATGTTATGTTATGAAAGAATGGGATGTTGTCTTTAACAAACCAAGAGCAACAATAGTTTCAGAACAAGAATGTAGACAGAAACTTAAGAAAATAAAAGTCGTACAAGTTGGCATGAAGATGTTAGATGCTTGGGATATCTTATTGTCAAAGTTAGAAGATTTTTCAGTTCGAGGTATAAAGTTCTATACACCTTCTCCAAACTTCTATTCTATCTTCACTGGATATAAATATGAACAAGTAGAATGGAAAGAAAATATTATAGAAGCTTGGTTAGACCATGTCAAAGAAATTATATGCAATGGAAACGAAAGAGTCTATGAGTATATCTTATGTTGGTTTGCAAACATCTTACAACATCCAAGTGCTAAGAATGAAACTGCTCTCATTATAATTGGAAAACAAGGAACTGGTAAGAACACATTCTTTACAGATATTTTGTGCAAACTGTTAGAGGGCTATTCGAACCCGAATATGACAAACTTAGAAAACATCTGCGGTAAATTTAACTCCTCAATAGAGAATATGAAACTTATAGTTTGCAATGAACTTCAAAGTATAGATACAACAAAAGTTTTGAACTCAGATGCTTTGAAGAGTCTTATAACAGACAAAGTTGGAGTTGTTGAAAGAAAGTATAAAGACCAAAGAGTTTGTGAAAATGTTGCAAACTTCATTATGGTTTCAAACAATGCTGTTCCGATGAAGTTAGAAAGTTCTGACAGAAGATATGTAGTTGTCAGAACGTCAGAAGCTCATATGCAAGATACAGAATATTTTGACGACTTAGCAGAAACTTTGACATCTGACTTTTACAACCACTTGTTCTCATATTTCATGACATTAGATATTTCTAAGTTCAATCCAAGACAAATTCCACATACCGAAGAGAGACAAACATTGTTAGAAGCAAACAAGAGTGTATATGAAACTGTTCATAGAAGAAAGCGACTTTGAGTGTTTAGATGAAAAGTCTTTATATGATGAATATAAACAATATTGTCAAGAATATGGTTATATGACAGCTTCTAAACGTACATTCTTGGCAAATGTCAAAAGTCTTTTAGATGTTCAGAATGGTGTATATACAAAGAAAATTTTTTCTGAGTAAATTTTAAAAAAAATATTTTTTATCCGATAGAAAAGATGACGAAATTCATCTCAGTAAACAAGTACATGTCAGGACTTAAAGAAGAACTAGACCCATTCACATATTTGAATGTTTACTTCTACCATTTTGAAAAGTCTTCATTCAGCAAAGTTTGGAACATCGAACCAGTTAAGTTTGCTATTGTGACTAAAAATGGTGCGAAATTTGAAGACTTAGACATAGAAGGTTTGTTAGCAGTCAAAGAAAGTTTTGACAGAAGGTTTTCAAACCTTAAAGAAGGCAAAGCATACAAACTTGTTATACCTTATGAACCAAAGAAAGCAGACGACTATGAATATTATGAGTCTAAAGTTGTAGAAGTTCAAGGTAAATTGGGTAAAAAGATTTTAGAGTCTAAGCCAGTGTTTGCTCCTAAAGAGGAAGAGAACATTGACATTGACCCAGAAATGTTCTAAAAATAAAATTTTATTTTTACATGTCAAATTTCTTTTTCTCTGGAACTGGTTCAGGTTCTTTCTTCTCTTCTTCTACTTTCTTTTCTTTCTTTTCTTTCTTTTCTCTCTTCTTCTTTTTGGTGGAGTTATGTCAAATTTGGCGCAACCATATTTATGTAAAAGTTCTTTGTCCTTTAATAGCTCATCTATTCTGTTTTCTATTTCATCTTCAGAACAGCGCATGTGTCTTCTTTGCATTCTAAGAATTTTGTTGGACTTCATCTTTCCAAGAGGCGTCATCTCTGTCAACAAGTCTGTCATTGACAAATTTTAAGACTCTCTTGAATGTTTTATGGTTCTTGTCATATTCCCAGAAACAGAACTTTAGAACAAATTCACCTTTCTTGTTTACACTATGTAAGATTTTATGGTCGACAGATGTTTTGCTGTCGAAAAGCTTGTCTCGAATATAGATAGCGAAATCGCTAGACATTTTCTAAAAGATAAAAATTTTAATTTTTCTAAAAATATGTTAGAAAAAAAGTTTGCTGACATTGACAAGAAATTTGAGAATGTTTTAAACAAGAACAAGAGGAAGTTAGAAAATGCTCAGATAAAGCCTATACATGACAAGTTCTTATTTGCTCAGAATGGTATAACAGGTCTAATTGCACCACCTGGGTCGGGTAAGACTTTCACTTATCTTAAAATGGCTGCACAACAACAAGAACTAGATGAGAAGAACCCATTCTATGAGTTAGTAGTAATTTGTAGTACTTCTGGTCAATTTGACCAAACCGTCAATTCGTTCAAAGATATTATAAAGAAGTCTAAGTTAGTATGTATAAAGGATACTGAGTTGTTAGATTGGATAAAGAAGTACCAAAGAAGAGTTTTGAAGTATAATGCTATAAATGAGTATATAAATTCTAAGTTTAAAGACCCAAATGAGGAAATGCAGAGAATATTAGAGAAGAAACACTTCAGAAACAAACAGAAAGAGATAGAATACATTTCGAAGAAATTGCAATCTTACGATTGGAAGACTTACCCTCATAGATGTCTTCTTATCTTAGATGACTTTGCTTCTCATCCTTTGTTAAAGAATAGAGAACAAGATATGTGTCGAATTCTTAAGAAGCTCAGACACTTTAACATCTCAGTCGTAATATGTGTACAGACAGCAAAGAGTTTAAGTAAGGATGTTAAAAGAATACTTACTGACATTATACTTTTCCCCGGATTGTCCGAAGACGATTTCATGGAACTTATGAAAGAGTCCATGGCAGGTAAGTTTGACAGATATGAACTATGGGAGAAGTATAAAGTCATACAAGACCCTCATACTTCTTTCAGAATTCATATCTACGCAAACAAAGTTCAAATTGTAAAAAGTCAAGCTTGAAAAATGTAAGTGTTTAGTCTTAGTAAGATGGTAGCTTCTTAAAGCATATGCCGTCCTTGAGTTTTAGGTACGTGAAGAGAAGTACAATGAATTCAATTACGAGTACAATTGCAATGACAACTAAGGCAACTATTTTTGTCTTTTGCCAGCAAGGGTACTTCTTCTCTTCCAATGGTTCGGCAGAACTATACTCACTCATGAGAAATGTCAAAACGGTTTAATAGAAAAAGTGTCATCTACCCTACTTGTTTGAAGTTGTCAAAATACTCTGTTATTTTTCACTGTTTTCATAGAGTTTTGGCGACTGGGTTTTTTTACTTACTCGCTGTTCTTCACTGTTTTCGTACGGAATCTCTTCTCTCGGTTTTCCGAGGGAAGCAAGCATATGCCATTTTACTCAGAATTTTGTGCTGAATTCAGCAAAAATAATGTTTAGGTGAAGAGGTGAGATCTCACCCGTTTTCTCACCTGTTTTTTCACCTCATGACAATGAGATGTTGATGTATCAGATACAGGAACAGAGTAGAGAGATTTCGAAGTTGAAGAAACAGTTGAATAAGTTGGAGAAAGACAAAGAAAATGCAGATGCTGCATTTAAGACAGCAATGGACAGAGTTCATGAATTGGAAGAAGAAAACACATTGATGAAGCACAAGATTGATTCCGATGGTGTCAAAGAAGACAAACCATCATTAGAAGAAATGAAAGGAAAAATTGATTTGTTGGAATACGAAAACTCCAAGTTGCAACAACAGGTTTCTTCACAACCATCAACACCAGTACAACAAAAGAATGATTTCGCAGAAAACATCGAAGAACAGATCCAACAAAAAGATTCCGAAATAGAAAAACTCAAAGAAGAACTCGCAGATGCAAAAGAAGACCTCAAATATGCTTTGGCAAAATTGGATGATGCAAACACTTCATTAACCTTAAATAGTTCACAGACTAAAGATGAGGAAGAAGATGATTTGGAGTCATTGAAGTCACAAGTAAATGAACTCGAAGAACAAAGAGATTTCTATATCAAGAAATCAGAAAATTTGGAAGAAAAAGTTAAAGAATTGACACGGAAAGTGACAAACTTTAAACCACAAATTGAAGAAACCAAGACACCTAAATCGAACATAGAAGACAAATACCAGAACTTGCAGACAGTTAATAAAGGATTGGCTGAAGAAATCTCTGCAAAAGAAAAACAAATTGATTTGTTGAATTCGCAAATAAAGAACAAAGAAGAACAAATCAAACAAAACGAATCAGAGATCAATAAACTCTTCGTAGAAAAGAATGATCTCAAGATTAAACTCCAACAATCTTCTGATGAATTGGCTGCTTTCAAACGTGAAAGAAGTGAAGTGAAAAGAGAAAAAGATGAAGCCGTCAAAAAGTGCCAAGATTTAGAAAAAGTTTTAGCTGTTTCATATGAACAAGACGACAAAATCCAAGAGCTTGAGAGAGAGAACCAGAAACTGAATGAACAGTATTTGTTTGCTGCAGATCAATGCAAAGATTCCAACAAACAAAGGGATGAATTGCAAAAAGAAAACAAGGAATTGATTGAGAAAATCAACAACTTGGAAAATGATTTGTTGCAAGCTGAGAAAGAACTCGATGAATTAACCGATGAAAAAGAGAAACTCGAGGAAGAACTTTCCCAAGCTAAAAAAGATTTGTCGCAATCAAAGAGACAACTCCAAGAATCAAAAGATGATTTGTTCCAAATCAAAAAGCAAATGGCTGAAAAGGAAAGAACAATCAGCGAACAATCAGTGTCTATTGAAGATTTAGGAAACCAGAATGACAAACTCAATGAAGAAATCGAAGAAATTCAAAAAGAAAAAGATGAAAATGAAGAAAAATTGAAAGATTTGCAAGAAAAGTTGAAAATTGCACAGAGTAAGGCTGATTCATTGAAATCGCAGAACAACCAATTGATAAAGGATAGAGATAACTTGCAGAACCAATTAAACGAGTTCCTTCTCGACGGAGGAAAAATTGATGAAAAATTGGTGTCAGAAAACAAACAATTGGCAGAAAAAGTCCAAATTCTTCAGGCACACGCCATCAAGAATATCGAAGGAGGAAGCAGAGTTTCCGCTAAAGCAGAGGAAGATCCAGCATTAGAAAGGAAAGTTGAATCTCTCCAGGTTTCGTTGGATGGTGCAAACAAACAAATCCAAGAATTGCAGAAGAAGAATAACGAATTGAACGAATTGAATGGAGTTTTGAGGAGTAAATTGAGTAACGCAATCAAGGAGAAAACACTCTTGGAGTTCAAGAATGACCCTGATTTCGGTGGAAATAATAATCCACCATTTAAGTTTTAAAATTAATTTTTTTTCTTTTTTTTAGGGCTGTACAAGATTTAAAAAAACATTGCCGGGTTACCGTAGAGGCCTAAAAAAATCGCGCCTCGGCGGCAAGCCGCCTCGGCATTAAGAATGCGCATCTAAATTTTTATATGTCCTTCTTTCTTTTATTTTTCCCTTCCCTTTCTTTTCTTTTTCTTTTTTTTCCCTCCTCTTGCTCTCATTTACCTTTTTTTTCCTTTTCTCATCATTTTTCAAAATTTTAAATTTTTATCAAAAATCTTGCCTATAAAAGCAGACTATGGAACCTTTTAATGCCTCTTAATCAATATTATACAGCATAAAGCATATTAAATGAAAGTAATTACGTATAAATTTATTTTATTATCTTATTTATTAATTCTTTAGCATGTATTGTTTAATATTAACTTTTCTGTACATTAAATATGATATCTCCAAAGTATGAATGCCTTGTAACGAAACGAAAACTTAATTTTATGTTGAATATTTGTCACAAACATTAGATTATTAAATATATGTTGGATATCCCTTAGACGACTTAACTCTTTAGTCTAACGTGAGCTTGGATTGCAAGCTCTGTGGTTAACGAACATAAATTAATTGTAAAGTTTTCAAATTTTTCATCGTTTCTATCAGCATCATTTTCCTTTAAATAATATATTTGTATAATACAATATTAGTAATTTTTTTATTTCCCATAATTTCATTCAAAATTTCAGAAAAAATTAATTTCTATTCAATATTATTTCAGCTTCAAAACACTTCATTCTTATAGATGTTTATTCACTAAAGTGTGATACTCAATGTCTTATTTCAATGAAAATTGTTCTGCAAATTATTTCACTTTTGACCTCACTTTTTCCGTAATTCAATTTTTACTTTTAATATTTTAGATCTTCATAATATCATTTGAAAAATTAACCATATAAAAAAAATCAAGTTAACAATTCACTTTTCCGTAATTCAAAAATCAAAAATATAAATAATATATCTTTTTATCAAATATTATTATTATATTCTTATAAAAGAGGTCCGGAATTTTGCGGATTCCCGTAACTCAATTTTACGGAAAAGTGCAGTAAACTATTCAAAATACGGAAAAATTGGTGTAAACTAATGATTTTACGGTAAAATCACGGAAAGTCCCGGAATAATATATGCCTATATGAAATTATACAAAAAATGAATCAAACGCATTTTAAAAGATTGTTCTTGTATTATAAATGCTATTCGCAGATTTATTAGTTGAAGAAAATTACCAAATTTTTGCCGATTTACAAAAAATGATTTACAAAGCATATTTTTATAAGGCTTTAAAAATCTTTAAAATGTGACCGGTGACGGAAATCCATGGTAACCAACCGCGGTTCCCGTTTGGAATGCCATACTTTTTTTATTTATGTAAAAAAATTTTGAAAAAAAAATTAAAACTTTTTTTAACTTCAACAACCTACTACACTGTATGGTAATTGACAATGTGATTTGTACTATTGGTCAAAAAAAAAAAAAAAAGGTAGTGGGGTCTCCAGGCACTTCGTGCCCTCTAGCCCTGAAGATGTTTAGTATAACTTTGTCCGGACAAGTAAGGGTCTATCGTCGCTACAGGAAAAGTTACAGGCGTTCCAAAGAAGTATACTTTGAGAAGCCTTTTCCCACTTATAGAATGAGATAAGACGGTTATTTTACAAAACTGACAACACTTTGACCGAGTAGTTTTTTGTGCTGAACAAAAAGTGTCATATAAACATCTGTCAAAAACCGTTTTTTACTTCACTTAAAATGCCACGTAAGCTACGTAAGAATATACGTAAGAGGAAGGGAGCATTGAAACATCCAATAGTAAAACTGACACCACAAACAACAGTTGCAACAACAAATATGAATGACCCCACTATGTTGCAAACAAATGTCAAGAACCCTATGCTTTTAGACGATGTTGGTGCACAGAGTGGGGTTTAAGAGCGGCACTTTTAGCAAAAATGGCAGGCTATGGTGAGCTGCAGACGGAACAGCTTTATAACCCTCAAAGTCAAATGAATTTGAGTTCACTCAAAAATCAAATAACAGATGTCAAAAAGTCAAACATAGACATACAGAACAAATAAGTGAAAACGAAAGAAACTAGAATATGACAGACAACAAAGAAACTCATGAGTTAAACGTAGAGAAAAGAAGAAAGAAGAACAACTGAAAGAACTAAGTACAGAGGAATATGCGAAAAAAGTGTCAGAAAAAGCAGCAGAAGTAGCAAAAATGGAACAAGATGTTATAAATTTGAAAAACCATACTACTCAATATAAAGTACTGAAAGATGAAGAGAAAAACAAAAAGCCCTGAAGACATATATGGATAGCGATGAGTATTAAAAAGAAGGTTGAAGCAAATGTAAAGGCAAAAACTTTTACAGTTGCAAAACCAAACCGACAGTATGAAAACTTAGCACAAGAAGTAAAAATACGACGCAGCCATGCAAAAAGCAATGAAAAGCGCAGAATATATAAAAAGCTAATATGACTGGTTAGATGCCCAAGCCAACGCTAAAGCAGCCCAGCTTATAGGGTCAATAAGGACAAAATACAAGCGATGAAGACAGTTCAAATGAAGCTTTAATGAATGCTGACTTTAAAACGCCTTCGAAGCTCTTCATAGTAAGGTGAACTAGTGAACGACTTCTCATCTGGAAAGAAACTGAAGTCTGAAGGTTTCGACAAAGAGTTAAGAGAAGTAGCACAAAATATGACGAAAATAACAGATGCAGCAACGAGACAGGCAGTTCAAAGTGCCTATGACCGCTTAGAGCAACTGTTGTGGAAAGTCAAGAAAAAGAGTTACAACAGCCAAAAAGACTAGTAAATGCCTTCTTAAAAACGAAAAAATCAGGTAGGGACATTATGCTGCAGATGGAACATATGTGCCAGCTGGTGAACTTATATACAGCTGGTGGAACTTATATACCAGCTGGTGGAACTATTATATAGCTACGAACTTATTTACACAAACCCTCCAAGAGAAGCACCTGCACCAGGACTACCTAAAACATTTACATCGTCACATGGACACAGACACAGGCATGCACCAAACCAAACACAACCAACACAACAACCAACAGTTCAAAACACTGCCCACAACCAACAGTTCAAAACACTGCACCACAACAACAGTTCAAAATCCAGCACCACAACCAAACGTTCAAAAATCCAGCACCACAACACAAAACAGACAGCAGACATAAAGAAGTTAGAGAACAAGGAAACCAGGAATTCTTAAAAATGCTTAAGGAAAATTATGGTTACCCAGATACTCTTGACTTTAGTGACAGATTATAAAGAAGCTATTAGAAAGTTCAAGGAAGGAAATACTGACCCGAACCTATTTAGCTTATGGTTCAGCACCAAATGGATATAATTTCAAACTGGAAAATACAAGCTCGCTAAGGGATATGATTTAATAGCATATCATCCAATGACATGGATGATTTACTCCAGATATTTGGTGTCAGAGATAAATGATAATCAACTATCTTCATGAAACGCGTAAAAAATAGAGACGGAACGAAAGAGAAAAGGGCTTATGAATGCGGATGGCTTAAATAGGGAACTTGTTAAAAACGGTCTCGGAATATATGAAATGCCAGCATGAGGTACAGAAACTCCACAGAGAAGTTCAGATACAACCAGACATGGAGAAATAGTTCAGCAACAACAGCTAGAAGAGCCTGAAGGAAACGAACAAGTCCCTCCTTTGGAAACTAACTTCACAGAACTAGATGAAGATTTTGGAACAGCCGAAAAAACTTGACCCTCAACAAGAGTATGCGGAGAATATGATCTTTCCAAGAGTCTAAGAAAAATTCAGCTGACATTGTAGAAGAATATCGAAAAATGTTCGCCGACATACAAAAGACTCCAACATCAGATGAAAATATTCAGCATAGAATGGAAGTACTGAAAGAAAATGTACGCAAATACAACAATTCCTTTTTACTTACGACCATATAACGTTCAATCTTTTGGCTGAACTCGGTGAAAATAAAAGGTTAAATTCAACAAACATATAGAAATGAAACATTGTTTAAAGTTCATTCAGAACCTAACCAATATGGAAACAAACCTACTTTTGTTTCTGCAGACTATGGAACTACAATGAGATGGGGTCATAAAGCTAATCCGGATAGGTGGTTCATAAACTTACAACCACAATTCCAAGAAGTTGTAGACGCAATGGAAGTGATGGTGAACCAGATATAGCTGGTATTTTCAGCGCGGCTTTAATGCCATTGAAAGATTATGAAACATGCAGCATATTTTGGACCAGTATGAAATGAACATGGCTGATGGAATATATAACACCTGACGTTCTAGAACATTTATCTCAAAGAAAACTACACAGAACCATAAGAATGGTATATTTGGTGGAAGAGTTTAGAAAGAAAGTTAGGGAGATAGAAGGAAGAGAACCTATTGTACATGACCTTGCAAACGAAAGTTTACAAAATGTCATAAAAACTTACTTTGCAGACAATGAACTGAGAAGGGATGAATATTTAAGAAAACTCAAATGGACAGTACCAAATGAAATGTTAGTATTGAAAAACAGTTCCTTGACAAAATAAAACCAACTACAGAAATAAATGACGCAAGACTGAAACATTGGGTAAAAGCTTTCCCATTCACAAAAGATATTATTGGTTACATGGAAAGAAAACCAGAATGGCTACAAAACATATATTGGAAACGAGCTTATTCCATATGGACAAGCTAATATTTAGAAGCTTGAACCGGAAACTCAGGAAAGAGTCATGCAAAACATACGCGAAGATCCAATACAAACTATGAAAAATCTTTCTAAGATATAGGTTACCTGAGATGGGCGACCAGAGCCCAAAGGCAAAAAGACATGGGAAATTTACAACATACTAGGTGAACATGAGGCAAAGATGCAACAACTTGAAGCAGAGGGCAAGTTACCAAAAGCGACACCAAAGAAGAAGAGTAGAA